TGACCGACATGATGATGCTCTAGTTAGGATGTTCAGCTTTCTCCCTTTCCCCCCCCTGCCGCATCCTATGACTTTTCTTTCTGACTGGTAGGGAGGGTCGTGACATATATTACGACATTGTGGCATGCGTGACCGATGTCCGGTCGGGGGGTGCCAAGCCGACCCAGGTCGGCTTCAGCACTGGCTGCGCGCCGACCGAGATTTGAACCTTCGATCATAGGGACTACACGTGGATGGACACGACTAAGTCTGTTCGCAAGTACATTCCCAAGCGCTACAGCTTCAAGGAAACGTACACGGAGGGCCCCAATGGCAGCCCAGATACCGTGCTTTGGCCTGTGATGTCAAATGTAACTTATGTAGTTACTGTAGACCATACTGGATTGTGCCTTAGAGGGTACAACCCCTAGTATATATACCCATGTATCCTTCTATTCAACTCAACTACTACTCATTTTGATATGGTATCATAGTAGGTTCGCCCCCCCCCTAGCCCGCCCACGCTTCCGCCGTAGACCCTAGCCGTCGTCACGCCCGCCCCTAGCCGTCGCGCCCGTCCCTAGCTGCCGTCTCGCCCGTTCCCAGCCGCCGTCGCGGCCGTTCCTAGATGCTGTCGCGACCGTTCCTAGCCGTCGCAGCTATCCCTAGTCGTCTCGCGGCCGTCCCTAGCAGCCGTCGCGGCCATCCCTAGCCGTCGTCTCGCGGCCGTTCCTAACCGTTGCGAATGTTCCTAGCCGCTGTCGTGGTCGTTCCTAGCCATCGCGACTGTTCCTAGCCGCCGTCGCGGTCGTTCCTAGCCGCCGTCGCGGTCTTTCCTAGCCATCGCAACCGTTCCTAGCCGCCGTCGCGGCCGTTCCTAGCCGTCGCGAACGCCCCTAGCCGCCATCGTGGTCGTTCCTAGCCGTTCTCGTGGCCGTTCCTAGCCGTCGCGGTCGTCCTTAGCCGCCGTCGCGGCCATTCCTAGCAGCCCTCGTGATCGTCCTACCCGCCCCCCCCCCTACGCTGTTGAGTACGTCCCTAACTGGCCCCGTGTGCCATCGCGCCCGTCCTAGCCGGCCCTACTCGCCGTCGCGCCTGCCCCTAGTCGGCCCCTTCTCGCCGCCGCGCCCGTCCTGGCCGTTCCTCCCCTGGGCCGTCGCGCCCTCTCCTAGCCGGCTCCTCGTGCCGCCGTGCCCGCTCCTAGCCGACCCCCTTCGTGCCCGCTCCTTACCGGCCCCTCGTGCCCGCCCCTCATCGGCCCCGTGCCCGCCCCTTGCCGGCCCCTCGCGTCCGCCGTCCGCCGACCGGCCCCTAGCGTCCGCCGTCGTCGCCGGCCCCTCGCGTCCGCCGTCCGCTGGCCGGCCCCTGGCGTCCGCCGTCGTCGCCGACCCCTCGCGTCCGCTGTCCGCCGTCCGGCCCCTAGCGTCCGCTGTCGCCACCGGCCCCGCATTCGCTTCGCCGCCGGCCCACTACCGACTCGTGCCTGGCCCGTTCTTCACGACCAGCCCCGCCCTACAACCCCCCTGGTACCGCACTGCACCGTTTTGTACCGCACTGTACCGCTTTGCACCGCACTGCACCGCTTTGCACCGTTGTGCATCGCACTGCAGCTCGCTACACTACACTGCACCGCACTGCACTGTGCTGTACGGCACTGCACCGCACTGCATCACACTGCACCAAATGGCACCGCACTGCACCACACTGCACCGCTCTACACCGCCCTGCATCATTCCTGATGGCGGAGGTGCTTCGCTTTGACGCTGAGGGCCAGCCGATTGAGTTTGAGGCGTGGCTGGCCGACCTCCGCCGCCACCTCACTGGTCAGCGGCAGGATGGCCACTCGCTTTCTGTCCATCTTGACAGTACGCTCCCCTGCCCTGACCCCCCTGCTGCGCTGCCCGCTAACCCCTTGTCTGCTGAGCATGAGTCCGCTGCGGCCGCTGCCCTTGCTCGCTCCGCCAGGCTGTCGCGTGATGCTGTCGCAAAGCTTGCTATCAGCCATGCCCTCCCCCTGTTTGAGCGCCCTCGCTTTAGGTCTGTGACCACTGCCCAGGCTTTCCTAGATGCTGTTGTCCAGCGCTATTCCACCTCGCCTGCTGCCTCGGTAGGTCGCCTGATCCTCCCCATGCTCTTCCATAACCTTGCGTCGTTTCCCACTGTCGCTGATCTGGCCGCCCACCTGCGCACTATAGACGAGACCTGGCGCACTGCCTGCACTGACACACATCTTCGCGCTCACCAGCCGCCCCTCTGCTCTGCTCTCTACCTGCTGGCCACCCGCCTTCCTGACCGCCTTGCCACTGCCCGCGACCGCTTCCTTAGCGTCCACCCTGGAGACCTCACCCTCACTGACTTTGTTGACACCCTGTCCACCATAGAGGCCCGCCATCGCTTTATCGCCCAGACCAGCGGTACTGTGCCGGTCCCTATCTTTCAGGGTTGTGCCCCTTCTCAGTGCACCTTCTCCGACGGTTTTGCTGCTGTGGCTGATATAGCTGCTGCAGCACAGGTCCGTTCG